GAAGGAAGGAAGGAAGGAAGGAAGGAAGGAAGGAAGGAAGGAAGGAAGGAAAAAAGAAAAAAGAAAAAAGAAAAAAGAAAAAAGGAAAGACGGGCGTATACCCGCACAGGCGCACTAAGGTTTTTGAAGGCGTACACACTACCGCAGTGGTACATGCCACGAAAACAATAGTAGTGGTCCAATGCAGCAAAATCGCATAAGGTGGGCGATAGGACAGTTCAGTAATTCTGTTTCCGCCATCAAAACGTGTCCACTGAAATTACTTATTTTGTTTGAAAAGCGAATATACATTTCCACTTATTTGGTTCTTCAGATGTGACCCATTTCAAAGAAGAGATTAGACCATAGTATTCCTGGCGATAGGACAGTTCAGTAATTCTGTTTCCGCCATCAAAACGTGTCCACTGAAATTACTTATTTTGTTTGAAAAGCGAATATACATTTCCACTTATTTGGTTCTTCAGATGTGACCCATTTCAAAGAAGAGATTAGACCATAGTATTCCTCTCCCTAATTTTCTGTCGCTGGAGAGATACACAGAAAATACAGGCGTGTACCACTGATATGTCTTTCTCATGCAACCATCAATTAATTAACAGAGTGAAGCAATTATTTTCTAATATTTTATTTTGATAATTTTATACATGTGTATCTGTTGCATCTTTCTATTGCACACCCATACTGACACCCAAGAACACATATCTCTTCTGTGTTGTGTGTGTGTGCATAAGTGTAAATGTATGCAATATTACAAGATCTTATCTATGGATCGTCTATTTCTTTTCATAATCTACAAGTAATTCTTTTTAAACATTTTCCTTTTCAGAAATAAAGTTAGGGCTGTACATTTGAAGCCAAAGGTATAACTCTGAAAAATATTGGAAAGAATAATTTTTTAAAATCAGAATAATGTTTCAGAGAGAGAGAGAGATTGAAAATATCTACTTCAATCTTATCTTTTTATTTTTACTTTAAGTTTACTTAAGTAATGGATGAAGCTTCGCCTTGATTTTCCTATTTATTTGTCTTTAAATTCTGATCATTAACCACCTTGTGTATAATGGAAACAAAAGCAACTTTGTACTTTTCAATCATAAAAAATAAAATATTCAGTATTTAAGATACCACTCCTCTCCTAGTTCTGCAATACTGTTCTAGTATGTCGAAGTGCAAAACCTAAACTGAAATGATGCGTTGAATGTGTCTGAAATTAGTTACAAATGTTGTTTCACTTGTTTTTCTGAGTTAAATCACTCTCATTTGTGTGTTTTTTTTCATTGTTAACTTTTGGTTGGGACAGATAGAAGAGATGTTTCCCTATAAAAAGCTGAAAGCAAGATAAAGATACAAATCAAGAGAAAATCCAAGGAATTGAGCATGCGTGTGCTTTTCTGCTTGAATTTCATCTTCTTCTTCTTATTATTATTAGTAGTAGTAGTAATGGTAATGGTAGTAGCAGCAGCAGCAGCATAACTTATTTGCTGTTCTTTTGTCTTTTGAGGAAGCTGGATGAGAAAAAGGGAAGGATTTTTACCACGGATCACATGACACAGTTTCTCCTCTTTTCTTAACCAAGGCTCTTCTAGTCAACCCTTAAGCAGAGCGTCACAGGATTTAACCCTGCATTCTGTTCTCATAGCGGCCAAGCTACTGACTTTGGTAAGCCCATAAGTGGGTATGAGGGTGAGAATAAAATAGCTGGTGGTTTTAACATAGTATGATCAACAGAGGAGGATGCTGGATTTTTGCAGTCGGATTGCAAAAAACACATTGAAGAAAATAGGAGTAGGATCTGGGAAGGGATATTTGAAATCTGCTCACTCAAAGCCCAGGGAAGACAGCTTGCACCAGTGGGGGGACACAGGAAAACTTCCCTGATTACACCAAATAAATGACACCCCCTCACCCATACAAAGTCATTACTGGACACATTATTCATAATGTTATTTTTAATTATTTTCCCCCTTTTTTCTACGCATAGTAATCACAGAATACAAATCAAAAAGGTTGGTAAACTATTAAAGTATTTGCTACCTATCATATACATTGGTTTTACTCAGCACAATATTAATTTCAGATTCTCTAGTGACAGTAAAAATGAAGTGGTCCATTGCCAAACATGTAAAAATATACACCAACAAAAACAGAATAAAATAAAATAAACAAGAAAAAAACAAACAAAAAATACAGCACCAGTAATCAGACGTAGAGGCACAAACCTACGAAGAGGAAGACAGGAATCTTATAGAATTATGTACAACAATTGTCTTCTGCTAAGTTTTGTGTTCCCTTCATACATTTGGAGTTCACGTTTTCTAAGGAAAAGTGCTAACCACGTCCACATTTTTACTTCATAAACCATTTCTTTTAAATTACAAGAGGATAAAAAAGAGAGAAATTTTAAACAAGAAGCTTTACAAATACTTGGACTATATGTATACCCACATGAAAACAAAACAGTTATCTAGATTTGATTCTAAAGAGACATTTAATAGGTAGATTTCTTTTTTTGTTGTACAAAAACAAACAAAATAAGAGAGAGAAGTGTTAATATAGGTAGTTTTCCAAGTGTCAAGAAGCAGAAGAAAGAATCCTTTCAGTTTGCTTAGATGTTTGTTTCTTGTTTCAATGTACAGTCTATTTGTTAATTTTTACATTTCTGTTTTTCCCTCTAAATTTCTGGAACAGTGCGGTCAGATTCTTTCTTTCTTTATTTGAA